TGTTAAGGTGGTTCATATATTCACATAATAAATTTTGCATAAACTTATATAGATAGACCGGTCTCTGTCGTAGGAGATAGTGTGGCAACATCTACATGTAAAACATAACCTTGTGGGTAGATCTGTCGTTTTCTTTTAGTTGCTTAGTGGGGACTAGTAGCGAATGAAACACATACATTGGTCATCAATAGATGAGAACAGAATAACATGTAATAATGTGCATACGGCAAAATAAATGTATATTAATTAACTTAGGATAACTATTACCTTATTATAATAAACTACTTATTTCACAGAATTTCTCCTTCACAATACAAGTGCTTCTTCCTCTTATGCTATGCATTCCCCTCATTTGGTTTCACCCCCACTATTCATACTTTAGAGTAGGACCTATCCAAAAAGCTATATCCGTATCGTAGATGTCATCACGTTGCTTCCTACGACAAGGACTCATAAAGCCTGTCCTATCTAGCTTTTCGTGAGCTCATTCGTTTATACATTTTAATTAATTACGGAATAAATATTGAAAATTTCAAAATGGTATATAACTTTTATGATTATTTTTTGAACTTTCGAAAACCACACACGCCTGTCATACATTTTGACAAAAATACTCCAAATGTTGTCAAATAAATATAATAATTAATTTTTCGAGAATAAGTTCTCCTCATTGGATCATCAGCTGCGTTCCGACATCCAACTCCGACATACGGCGTATTGTGTTTCTCAAGCTGGATCTACCATAGAAGTCGTAGAATTGTAAGTCGTAGTAATTAACCAATCATAGTGAGGTATGAGAATAATAATCGACCGGTCAATTTCTACGACTTCTATTGTAGACCTAAGTTTTGGTACGTTATGGTTACAACATTTATGTATAAAGTTCTTTAAAGTCTAAAATATATAGCACACAATGCAAGCTTTGCTTTTAATTTTGTTGATAGATTCGTTACTCTCTATTTCATGGGTTGTGTAACATGCTCCTAAAATAGTAACCCAATGAAAAATGTTTCATGCATATTTATATATAATTTTTATATAATTTTTCCATACATAATTATGTATAATTATATATAATTATATAAAATTATATTTAATTATACACAATTATATATAATTATATATAATTTTATGCGTATTTATGTAAAATTATATATAATTTTATATAATTTTATATAATTAAAAATGAAATGAAAAATTTTTCATTGGTTTTTTATTCACATGCATAATTTACTTTGTATGTTTTCAGCACGAAAAATTGTACACTCAGTTTCGACTAGCGACATCAGCATATACTCAACATGCGGGATTTAAAGAATCAACAAACACAAAGTCAAATATACTCTTCCTAAGCACTGCAGTCGTGGCTTGCACATCGTTAATGCGGTACGAACAGAAAGCGGTATCTATCGCGATGACATTGGCAGAAAAAATTTCAACAGAAATAACTGATATAGTGATAATGTCTAGTCAATTGTTCCACTTAGCGACCAATAAATAAATAAATAAATAATATTAGACATGTAAAGTAAAACTAGTGCTTGGCTGAAGAACGTTCAACCTGAACAGTAAGTTATCTTACTTTTTCGGTTCTTCTAACTTCTGTGT